CCCAAACCACCCCTTTCAGCAGGTTGTGAATGTTGTCAATTGCAGGCAGACAAGATGTGCATTTCAATGAAGAATAGGAAATGGAACCTTTCTATGAATAACACAGACACACACACACACATACACGGGAATGCTTAAAGAAGAAGAAAACACCTATTTGCATAAGGAACCAATTTCAGCTTTTAGCCCTAAATCAAATGAAAAGCATTTTTGTGTGTTAATGCATAAGTATGTACAGTGGTGGCTCTTTAACCAAGTTTTAATCCCCAAACATCATTATTATTATTACTATTATTATTATTCTTGTCATCATCATTATCCAACACACTCGCAAACCTTGTGAGGATCGAAAATGGATGGATGGATGGATGGATGAAAAAAATGAAAAATAATTTCAAGTTATATTTTACTTTGAATTCCTGTTCAAAAAGGTAAAACATGGCGAGCTTCCTGAAATTGAAAGCATCCGCATTAAAGCACTTGATGATCTTGCAAATGCACACTAGCAATTGTTAAATACAGTACAGTACTTATTTCAAATAATAAATGAATAAATATAACAGTATGAATAATAATACAAATAATAAATAAATAAAATGTGTTAGGTATAAATTTCCCAATTGCACAAATATTAGAACATCAAAAGACATTTTTGCAGATGATTATAAAATAAAGAACCATGTTTGGGAACTTCAAATCAGATGGCAGTTGCCTCACCTTAATGCAGCTAATAGTGATGAAGGTTGTCATTTTTACAATGGTGATTGTATATTAATAAATGTTCATAATCATAAATATAATGTTTTAATTGTTCTTAAAAAAATCCAATCTAATAGATTCTACCTAATAATGTTGTATTTTTAATGAATTGTGAGTTTGAAATAAACAACCTAACTTAAGTGAATAGACTTTTTTTTTTAATGCATCATGTTACTTTTTTATCGTGATTTTGTAGTCTGTTTTGATCAATGGAACACATTTTTTGCCACGGAAAGGATTGAGCGTGGTACAACACGGTGACCTTGTGGTATGCATGTCTGTCTCACGACTTTGGGGTTCTCGCATTGAATCTTACCTCAGTCCTTTGTGGGGGTTTCCATGTGCTCCCCATGGGTTTTCTTCGGGTACTCTGACTTCTTCCAAGTTTATGGACCCCGCTTCCCAAAGTCAGCAGGGATAGGTTCCAGGTCACCTGAAACCCTGATGAGGACGAGTGCCATAGAAAATGAATGCATCATTGTTGCCCTGGCAACATCTGAAGTCCAGACATCATTTATCTCATCGGCCGATGTAAATATCACCCCCAAAAAAGTATACTATTATTAGTAGTAGTATGATTATTGTGGCTACTACTGTATAGTCTGAGCATACTGAGCAGCTTTTTGTGTGGCTTGCAGACATGCAGTCAGTCAAGTCAATGTTAAAGGTCAAACACAGTGTAGCTCACACGAGACAATCCCAGTGAGAGCAGACATGATGTCATTAAACTTTCATGACAACTGAAGGGTGACAACTCTCAGCCGTTATTGACTCCGCACGACCCCAACACACATAGGTGTGCGCACACACCTACACGCACACAAAACCTACACGCGCACACAAACACACACAAACACACACACACACATATATATATTTAAGATACTGTAGGTAACCCTCAACTGTACTGCTAACCAATGAATTTTAAATACTGTGTCTGCTCATGATGAAGCAACATGTGGCTCAGTGGTTATTTGTTTTGTGTACAGTATAATGAGAACATACTTGGTATGCGAAATCCAATGCTCGGATGGGGCCGTATAATAAATTGTTCTAAATCTCCTCTATTTCCGGTGTAGTTATACTCTTTGCCACTAGATGTTGGCACACTGCTGAGAGTGTGTGAATTTGAAAAGAAAAAAAAAAAAAAACAGAAGAGGAACTTAGAAGAAGAAAGAAACCCCAATGTCATCCAAACAGCCTCATTTTTATTGAAAACTATTTAATGGCATCCTCTATAATCATGCTTTTAATCGCTAAGGTAAGCAACGGCAACACGTTAATTTTATAATCTTTGGACATGACTATGGATGGCTATTGTGAGATGTTAAGTTTGTTGGGAAAAAACGGGACTGTTTATACGAGTACAGTAAATACAAAGGTATTGGTACACTGTTAGACAGTACTGCACAATATTTTTGGGGTTGCTTTTGCTCTCTCTTAATAAATGATATGAATTTAAATGTGTTTGTAATATTTGTGTGTTAAAAGCTTTGAAACTAATTGCCATAAATGCTATTAAAAAAAAATGTCTTTGGAGTAGTTTTCTATATCACAGATTTCACGTATTGCAGGGATGGTCCCAAAATGGCCGTATAGTTGACATTTTTTAATTTTCTATCATCATGATGGTGGGGGGTGGGGGGGGGTCGTGTTTTACTTGTGAATTCTAGTTGCTGTATGTTTTAGAAAAAAATTCTAAATAACAAATGACATTCCAGAGTGTCATCCGAGAAAACATTACATGTGTGTTGTCGATGGCAAGCAGCGCAGGTTGTGTGAAAAATGTCATGAGCTTTTGTGTTTGCCTCGGGCTCCGGCAGGTCCCATAGGAGCGTCTCCGTTTATTGTGCTCCAAAAAAAGCCAATTACAATGTTAATGTGTCACAGCGGGCGCCTGAACCCCGAGGAACGCGTCCAACGCTTGATGGAGAGGGCTCGAGTCAACGCGGGGTTAACAGCAAAACGGCGTCTGGGGAGCGCTTGGCCATAGCATAACACTACACAATAGTAAACACACACACACACATTCTTGATGCATTCAGGAATTGCTGCATGGAAAGAATATATCAGAGTCAGGATCAAATACTACAATTAATAAGAAAAAAGGTATCTAGGCTAAGACAAAAAAATGGGATGATAATAATAAAAATAGACAACCAATGATACAACACAATTTGATAGATGAGTTCACTCCTTTCAATAACAGTCACGCATGATACAACAATGATCTAATAGAATTAAATTACCTCGGCAAAACTACATGATGCAAAGATTTTGTAAGCTAACAAAATGAACTGTAGATATGAAGTAAAGCAAGTTGCACTCCAATATTATCAGTTCACCTCAAGCACGCTAAGTGAAGCTAATCTACAGAGGACATGCTATGGCTTGCTATGACGATAAAATCAGCTAACCTAAGAAAAAAACTGCTAAGATAACAAATTGTCCATCTACAGCTAAAGTAAAATAAATTATCCTAAATTACGTGAGCCGAGACAAGACACAATCCGATATGATGAGGTGAGCTCACCTCAGCCATGCTAAGCTACGTTTAAAGAGATTTTGGTCTCTTTATACATACACTAGCTAAACCCCGGTGGACGAAAAAAGACGTCTTGGACAAGACAGCTATTGTTTGTAGAAAAATATATATTTGGACAGAAAAGAGGAAAAGGAAAAACATACAGATTACGAAAGAGCGTGTCCGTCCGACCTCGAGCGTCGTGTCGTCCCAACTAATTTAGCTGTTGTCTTGGCTAGGCTAGCTTAGCTGTTGTCGTAGATCAAAGCTTTTTGATGTGTAACGTCCGGTGCGTCAGCACTGATTGGTTGAAGCCAAAAGACGTGCTTGCGTACACGTCCGCACTGATGCACGCACAGTAGAGAGCAGCGGACTTTCGACTGCTGAGTAGCGCTTCACTCGAGTGGCGTCGCTCCATGTTAACAACATCAGATGGCGTGTCAAACAGTACAATATAAAACACGATAAATTACGACAGTACAGCATTGAACGATGAGCTCACTTTAGCGAATCTAATCCACGCTTTGCTAAACAAAGAGCCTATAATGAAAGCAATGTACATACAGTACAAGACAGGACAAGATAAGTTATGCATGCGACAGTACGACATGTCACCTTGAGCTCACTTCAACCAAGTTAAGATGAGTGAAAGTATGCTAGGCTTAGCTAATAAATAAATGGCTGACATTGTACATAATTAGACAACGCAAAATATGACAGATCGATACATCACGACATTGCTAGAATAATGGCCTTTTTTCCCCTTTGTTTTTCCAGATAAAACAAAAAAAAAGTCAACAAAATACTGGCTATATCATATTCATTAATAATTTCATTATTTTTCCTCAAAATACAACAATATTTTAAGATGATAAAATGAGTTCACCTTGGCCAAGATAGGCTAATCTATGCTACACTAATGTAACAAAATATGGTTTCTTTCAATGTACAATATGATGAAACACAATGTAAACTACGAAACTACAGCATATGAAGATGACCCCATCAGCCAGCCCAAGCTAAGCAACTATAAACTATGCTAAACTAAACTGAAACGGGATGAGATTGCTCTATTTTATCTATCGATCTACGTATCCAGTTAAGGTAAGATAAGACAATGCAGCACATCCTCAGAGGACTCCCGCAGGACGATCTCTCTTGGGAGGCCATAATAAGCCATTAAATGGGCACATTAGGAGCTAATGAAAAGGCTCTTAGTGTTTTTTCTTTCCACTGTGGTTCACCTGAATATATTTGTCACACTCTCAGTTGTGCATGTGTGTGACTTATTTGGACTGACAAACGCTGAAATTACAAAGCAATAAACATATTTCCCCCACAAAGTTTATGATGCGTTTTGGTCTGTGTGTAAGGCTGGCAGCACAATGTTCTGGACACACAATGCGATGTTACACTTGTTATTGTCATGCAAATGTTCATAATAGACTGCAGCCAGCATCTCTGATTAGCCTGATGTGTGCTCATTCCCCACTCTCAGAGGGTCTTTTCTCTGCCGTCCATCCAGCCATCCAACCACGATAAATAGACGCACACACGCACAGGCACAGGAATATCATCATGTTACCTCACTAAAATGCTTTTGTAATCATTTTCAAATGCATTGAAAAAAACTTGATGTGGCTCACACACATACACACACACACACACACACACACACACACACACACACACACGCACGCACACAAAAGATAACATGAAATAACACCGACAGTAAAAACTCCAAGACGAAATTCAGTGCTGCTTTGACCTTGTAGGGCAAACAAACACACATATACCAAATGAAAACACTCACAAGGAGCATGGAGAAACATTCACAGTTAACGAACCGCACAGTGAACTAAACGTGTTAGAGTTCATGATTTCACAAACTATGCCACGTCCCTTAAAGACACTTGATGGCTCCATGAGGCTACTAGTGTGACGCCTGCCTGGGCCTAGTGGCGTTAGTAGTGCCGCAATGGTAGGCCAAAAGTCATACTAATAGTGTAAAACAACGTTATTTCTGAGACACAGTTTTCCCACAAGTGCGCTGATTTAATCTTAATAAAGAGGAAAAAGAGCATACTAGTACATGGAGCTTATGCTGGACACAATCATTACAAGTGCACTGATATATCTTACTAGTGAGGACAAACTGCGCAATAGTACATAGGACCCAAATCTGGGTATCAAGTATATCGACTAAATGCTCAAATGGCTTTGCATAAAATTGTGTGTCCTCTCTGTGTTGTGCGTTTTTGACGAGTTCACTCAAGGTACTTGATCACAGGCGTGACCACATGTGTGTTGATGATGGCGATGATGATGAGGGGGTGGTACCCACAGCCAGCTCACCCATGTGTGTAATGTGAAAAGGAGGGCTGGGTGGGTGTTTGGGGAGAGGGGTGAAATGTTGTACTGACACTGTCGAGTGTGGACACAAGAGTGCGTGTGTGTGTGTATGTGTGTGTGTGTGGGGGGGGGGGCTGTCAAACTTCAATGCTATTTTTCATCTACGTTCTGTGGTGGGATTGCTTAAAAAAACAGTCTTTCTGTAGGACAGACAAAATGGTGGAAATTTGGTAGCAATGGAATGAATGCCCCCCCCCAGGAGGAGTTCAAGTCCAACCACTTGAAAGGAGCTAAAAAAAACAATGGGTGGATGATGGATGGATGGATCGATGGATGGATGGATGGCTGGACAAGTGGATGAGGACAGATGGAACATGTATGTCAGGGATGAGCTTCGGTCCTCAAGGGCCAATATCCTGGATGTTTTATATGTTTACCTCCTCAAACACACCTGATTCAAATGATCAAGACTGTGATCAGGCTTCTGCAGAGATTGCTGATGAGCTAATCATTTAAGGGAAAGATCTAAAACACGCAGGATTGTGGCCCTGTAGGACTGGAGTTGCCCACCCCTGCTATACGTGAATGTGGATGAATGGAATGACTGCTGGTTGGATCTGTTACTAGGTGGATAGATGGACTGGATGAATCACTGAAATAAGGATCCCTAATCATCCCCAAAGGATGGGTAGTTTCTTATTTTTAACCGGGTTTACTACCTAGAAGTTACACGGATTGACATGATGGATGGATAAATGAATGGATAACTAGATAGACAGGTGGTCATACAGATTAGTATTGTTATTTTCAAATATTTGCTTGTTTTGTCTGATTTATTCCTCAGTTTGTATTTTTGAATTTTAATTCCTGTTGTACAGCAAATGTTTTGACACTTCTGGATTTGTAATGCTTTAAGATGAAATTTGAGCGAGGCAGCATTCGCTTACCATTTGTCAAACGTAAGTTGCCTGTTTAAAATATATTTTAAAATTATTCTGAACGACAGTTTGTAAATAAATCCGTATTACACAACCGTCATGTGTATTGTTCTCAGAGGCTCAGTGTTGAAATGGACTCAAATATCACTGAGCCTCCCGATTTTTGTGGCGAAATAATTAAGTGAAAGAATATGTTCACCAGCCTTGGCTTTGATTCATGAACGTCACAAATGGACATATATTTAAAAAAAAAAAAGACTCCAAGATTCTGTGTGGTTCCATCTTTCCTAAATTGGCACTGACGCGGATGAGCAACTTTGATTGGTCGGACGTCAGACGCAAATCCCCATGGGTTGGCTCCGCCCCCTATAACGTTATCCCTCGCCACCCACCATCATCATCGTGGCTCTCCCCGTGGGTGATCAAGAGAGAAAAATCACTTTCCTCCTCCTGGCTCTTGGTTCACACAGATATAAATATTTTATTTATTTATTTATTTTTTTGCAGGATTTCTCGAATGCGAGTTGAATGCAGACGCAAATATATTTCATTTAACTGATGATGAATGGGGTTCTTGCGTGTTTTGATGGGATGGGATGTGGTACACGCGCACACACACTCACTCACAGTAACCTTCATCGTGCAGACCAGAGGCTGTCTGCATGCTGCTGATAAGAGCCTCGGTCGTTAACTCGGCCACGCAGGACAGCCTTGTGAGATTTAATTTAGGCGTTTTGAGGGATTTTTTTTTTTTTTAGATTTCAGTTAAATGGGTTTTAATAATTTGATCATGGTGTTAACACAATTATGATTTTTTTTAGGGAATATTTACATTAAAAGTGCAGGGAATCCTGCACAAAATATGATAGTCCACGATGCAAATGTCTAATGAATTGTTGTTTTCTTTTACAAGGGCACTTAAAAGCATGTGCACTGGATTGCGTTGCATTCGAAGCTTTTACACATGAAGCAGCGAGGCCGCTTTGTTGCAGGGTGATGATGATGATGATGGTGATGATGATGATGATGCAGCGTCGTGTGCATCCAGAAATTTTGCGTGGGGGATCATAAGAATATCCATATTTTGTAAAAACCTACAATGCTTTAAAATCTCAGAATTTGTGCGCAAACAACAAATGGGTTCTTTAAAAAATAAAAGTAGACCAGTCCTGCGTGTATGAATATAAAACGAAAATATTGTCGTATTTTATATTCCAAGTTATATAATTTAAAAAAACGAAAACCGCAACATTTGCCCTCCATTAATAAAATCTCCTTTTTCTTGAACGGGCGGCCATTCTTCACAATGGCACACGCACGGGCGTGCACACACACACGCAGCAATCCTTCGATGGATGAATGAATGAATGATATTTTTCATGTTATGAAACAAAACAAAATAAGACTGAAGCAAAAAGGCCAAATTGGAGGAAGAATAGTCCATTTTAGGTCACTAAAAACTATACTGCTTGCATCCAAAATCTTTTTTTTTTTCCCCCAAAGAGAATCTGGTTTACTATAAAGCTGTCCTTTGCTGATTAAAAAGAGGCAAATGTTTCTTTCATATTTTTAAGAAAGCGAAAGAGAAAAAAAAGTAAAGAAATCCTACATTTGGTTGTGATCCAAAGAGGTTGGCTTTTGGCACAGATCTCAGCCTCCTTTTATACGCGTAAACTTGGGCGAGATTGGAGGCCGCCGGAATGCCATTGGACGTCGGTCTGAAGTATTATAGATCGTGGCTCCGGGAGGGGGTGAGGAGGGAGTGGGTGAATAGGGTGATGGTGGGTGTATGGTGAGGGGTACCGCAAGCACCTCCCCTAGAAATGCAGCAAATCTCTCCCGTGTTCTCCTGGTGCGGGGCTCTATCTACTAAAAAAAAAAAGGAGGGAGGGGATGGAGGAGGGGGGGGGCACTCAAGCCCACCCCCCCCCTGAGCGCCACAGTACCGCATTGGCATCAGTGAAGGCACCTGGACGCACCTAACACCCACCCCACGCGCAAAAAAAAAAGGATATCATAAAGGCCTTACAAAGACACTTTTTGCTGTCGGTGCGTAAAGCTTTACGCACGGCGTCTGGAGCCAAAAAAGACAGCGAGGAAACGTCGAACATCGAGGAGGAGAGGACAGGACAAGGGAAGGAGAGGAGGGGGACAGGATGCAGAAGCGGAGCAGCGACGTCTGAAGGTGAAATGATCCTGAGGAAAAGCACACTGAGGAAGAAGTGGAGATAGCAATTAAAAAATATTAATAATATACCGTCGGTGTCTTAATCAGAGCTCGTCCTTCCCCCCCAACCCCCTCACCCACCCACTCTCGTGTCTTGTGGATGCAACGAAGCGGACGCCGCCACCCAAAGTAGCCTCTTTTGTATATTGGATAAGGAGAGGAGAAATTAAGCGCAAACATGGCGACGTTAATCCGGAGCAAACTGTCCAATAAACTGTCTAACGCGGCCACGACCGTCACCAACAAATCCCAGGCCAAAGTCAGTGGCATGTTCGCCAGGATGGGCTTCCAGGCCGCCACCGACGAGGAGGCGCTGGGCTTCGCCGCCTGCGACGACCTGGACTATGACCACCGGCAGGGCATGCAGATGGACATCCTGGCTGCCGACGACAAGGCGGCGGCGGCGGAGGGAGGAGGGGAAGGAGGGGCAGGCGGCTTGGATGGGGACAGCCACTACCAGAGGGACGGCACCGGGCCATCGCGTTCGTCCTCCAAGGACGGGGGTTCGAACGAACTGTCCGAGGTCAGACCCAAGATCACGGCTTGGGAGGCGGGATGGAACGTCACCAACGCCATCCAGGTACGAGCGCGCACCTCATCATCCATCCATTTTTTTAAATCCTTTTATCCTCACAAGATTCGCGGGGCACCTCAGCAACTTTAAAGCAAATCGATCGGATTGCTGCTCATCTTATTACTCGAATAAAACACAACGCAGATGTCATGCGACGAACTCCTCCGCGCATATTGTCCACGAACACACACTTTCTATTCTCTCAAACTCTCCTACGGTGAAAATAAAATGCAGCAATAAAATAATAATTCAACGTTTTTCATGCGGGAAACAACACATTTCGAATGCATTCCGTGCGCAATTACGCGTGTCCGTGGCGCACGTCAGCGCGCAGTGGGGGGGAAAAAAATGTGGGCGTGAACGAAGCGAGTCACCCACACCACCACAACCACCCAGAGTACGTCTCGTTCGCAAAATCTGCGACAAAATAAATAAATAAATCCTTTCTCGGGGGGTTTTGACGTCACAGAGTGTCTCCGATGCGGCTCGTGGTGACGTTCGGGGCGGGAGGGAAGACGGACGCGCTCAAAGCCAAGTGGAAAACCCACGCGACGTCAAAACGGGAAGGTGGGGGGGGGGGTGGGGTTGGGGGGTGGAGGCACGAGGACCGTCACTTAGAATTACAATAACATTCAAAAGAAAGTAGCCCTCCACCATGGTGGAATAACCACAAGTGACTGGATGAACCACTTCATGTGGGGTACTAATTGGGAGAAGATGTGACAATCTGATCTGACCTATAAGCATCAATGTGCAATCTGGATCAAATCCGCTCCAAACTAGATTTGATATTCAGTGAAGCCTTTTGTTTGAACAATAAATGGCTGATGTTAAAGGCACCGAATTCATCACCTACCTGCTAAATCAGGGCTGAATGAATCCAGGTTCATCTTGGCAGCATTTGACTCCGCATAATTTTTGTAATGAGAAAGGTAAGTAATATGATAAATTGAAATAGCTTCTGAATTGATCTGATATTCTTTTCTGATCTGAATCTGAGATTCTTTTTCTTATCTTATTTTATCTTATCTTATATGGACGATGCCTTCTGTTCAAATTGGCTCTATGCATATCTGACCATGTTAAATATTTGCAAGTTTGAAATAATACATATCTGAAGATTTGGTGCCAAATGCCGAATGTAGATCACATACGGCGCTGAAAGTACGGGTATGAAAACATCTGACTTTGCATACAGATCAGACTAAAGGTATTAGCAATTAGGCATGTTGAAAATGATTTCCCCCTCTATATTGAAATGTTTTCAAAATTATCAATCTGGGTCAAATCTGGATTCAATTTGGTTTGATGTTAAGGTGTCTGACACCGTGGTATGAAGATCTGGATCAGTTTGAGTTGGCAGCTTTTGATCCTGCATGAATTTCAGAAGAGTGACAAGGAATAGGACAAGGTAAAAATGACTTTTCCCTGTTAAATTGAATGCTCAATGCAGTTCAACTCCGGATCAAAAGAGGCTGCAAATCACGTCCAATGAACACCTTCATATACATTAGGAGTTTTGTTCAAATGACAAAAATATCTCACCATGATAAATCACACGTTTGAAGATGCCACATTCAATCGGAGCAACCGACTTCAAATATGGGTTGAGGTAACAACTTCTGAGATGTTTTTATATATCGTGAAATCCACTGGAATCAGTTGCTGTATATACTTGAGGCTTGAGGAGCCGACGATGAGAAGAAAGGAGCGTTAGCGCAGAGCGCCGATGCGGATGTGGAACCGGGAGTCGCGGCTTGGAGTTGAAGCGGATTACGTGGGACAGGAGTAGTGAACTAATCTCTTTTTGTCAATGGACTCTACAGCTTCGTGTTTGCTTTCAAAACTTAGCTTGTAGCAGACGTGCACATTTTCAGCATGACGTCTCTGATCCACTGGTAAAAGGACACTTTCATCCTCTCCTCTTTCATCTATAACTGCTTCAGACAACAAAGTGTATGCAGGAAAGTGGTGAAGATTGCACGACTGTCTGTGTCCTATTTGTTGTGTTGTGTTATTTTTGTTATTTTGACTTCAAGATGGCGCCGCGTGAGTGGCTGCCTTTCCAGCAGCTCCTATATTTTGTTGTTCTACTTCTTCCATTCATAACTTTGCTGCTGTGAATTTGGAATTTCTCCATTGCGAGACTAATAAAGGTTTTCTTATCTTATCTTATCTTATCTTATACGGTGCAAAGGGAAAGAGAGAGAACTTGTTGGATGGGAGTCAGCACACACCCGCCACCATTCAAAGTGCCTCTGATCAACCGCAAATACATTTTAGGTGATTTACTGAAGTTTTTTTTCCTTTTTTGGGGTACTTGAAACTGATCACAATTCCTTCCACCATGACTAAGACCTCATCTTCAGCTGAAGCAAACAGCCTCAAATCATAATGTTGCCACCACCATTTTGTTAGGGAATACTTTTAATAATGAGCAGCGTTGTGTTTCAAATCTACCTTTAGGAACTATGACCAAAAAAGTTCAACGTTGGATTTAGAGGTGTCAAATCTAGTTCCAGAAAAGTAAATCCCTGCCACAGCTTGGCTTAAGCCACAGGTGCTTCTATTCAACAAGCTTGTTTACCAGCAGTTGAGTAGAATCACCTGAAGCCAAAATGGCAATGTGTTTTTCTTTCCGGACCTGAATTAGCCACCTCCGCACCGGGCCCAAATATTTGAATGTTGATTTTCTTTGTAAGAAAATACTTCTGTCTCACCACTTGACCCCACAGCCTGAGATGATATCTTTCGACCTTGCACATTCACATTTTTCGGATTGGATCCCGAGCAGCCAATATCATGTTTTGAAACTATACGGCAGATGGATTTAAAGGGATCTTGGAAAATCACCTGTTCCGATTATGATTTGAATCTCGTTTTGGGCATCCTTGGCGGTTGTGACATGATTATGTGAAATCACTGCGCGTGTGTTCACCTCGCAGGGAATGTTCGTCTTGGGCCTTCCGTACGCTATCCTGCACGGGGGCTACCTGGGCCTCTTCCTGATCATCTTCGCCGCGGTGGTGTGCTGCTACACGGGCAAGATCCTGATCGCGTGCCTGTATGAGGAGGACGAGGACGGCCGCCTTGTGCGCGTGCGCGACTCGTACGTGGACATTGCCAACGCTTGCTGTGCGCCGCGCTTCCCGGCGCTGGGCGGCCACGTGGTCAACGTGGCGCAGATCATCGAGCTGGTGATGACGTGCATCCTGTACGTGGTGGTGAGCGGCAACCTGATGTACAACAGCTTCCCCAACATGCCCATCTCGCAGAAGTCGTGGGCCATCATCGCCACGGCGGCCCTGCTGCCCTGCGCCTTCCTCAAGAACCTGAAGGCAGTGTCCAAGTTCAGCCTGCTGTGTACGCTCGCACACTTTGTACTCATCAGCCTGCTGTGTACGCTCGCCCACTTTGTCATCAATGTGCTGGTGATCGCCTACTGCCTGTCGCGGGCGCGGGTGTGGGCGTGGGACAAGGTCAAGTTCTACATCGACGTCAAGAAGTTCCCCATCTCCATCGGCATCATCGTGTTCAGCTACACGTCGCAGATCTTCTTGCCGTCGCTGGAGGGCAACATGCAGAAGCCCAGCGAGTTCCACTGCATGATGAACTGGACGCACATCGCCGCCTGCATCCTCAAGGGCCTCTTCGCCCTGGTGGCCTACCTGACGTGGGCCGACGCCACCAAGGAGGTGATCACGGACAACCTGCCGCCGGGCATCCGCGCCGTGGTCAACATTTTCCTGGTGGCCAAAGCGCTGCTCTCCTACCCCCTGCCCTTCTTCGCCGCCGTGGAGGTACTGGAGAAGAGCTTCTTTCAGGAGGGAGGCCGCGCCTTCTTCCCGGACTGCTACGGGGGCGATGGACGCCTCAAGTCGTGGGGCCTGAGCCTGCGCTGCGGCCTGGTGGTTTTCACGCTGCTCATGGCCATCTACGTGCCGCACTTCGCGTTGCTCATGGGTCTGACGGGGAGCCTGACGGGCGCGGGGCTCTGCTTCTTGCTGCCCAGCCTCTTCCACCTCAAGCTGTTGTGGAGGAAGCTGCAATGGCACCAGGTCTTCTTCGACGTGGCCATCTTCGTCATCGGCGGGATATGCAGCATCTCCGGTTTCATCCATTCCATGGAGGGGCTTGTGGAGGCCTTCAAGTACAACATTGAGGAGTAGACTCCGAGCCAAGCTCAACCTCCGGCACGCCTCCTCCTCTTCTTCCTCCTCCTCCTCCTCCTCCATGCCCTCTCCCTCGTCCTCCTCCTTCTCCTCTTCTCGCTTCAGTTCATGCGTAAAAGCGCACGCTCGCAACCATCCAGTCTTGCGCACCACCCCGCTATACTTCCTGTCACGAGGCCTTGCATTGACATACGAAAGAAATATCAGAAAACACAATAGTCTGATGTGGGTGTACGTAATAAATTGGCTGTGTGAATCTAAGACCCCCCACCAATAACGGTTATCCCCGTAATCTATTTGACTGATACGTTCTCATTTCTTGAGGGCGAGATGCGCTAAGATTATTCATCTGGGCTTTCCTTTTTCTCGCCTTGTAAAAGCGCGTGCTCCCACCTATCTAATCTTGCGTATGTGAAAAAAAATCAATAAAAATTAGTGTACCTAATATACTGGCAGCGTCCACCCATGGAAAAACAAACATTATCGTCTTCTTCCCCTTAATCTGCTTGATTGACGCTACCATTCAATACAAATTTATTTTCGGGCATGATCATAAAATGAATCATCCGGCAGTCCCCCGCTTCACGGTTCAATTTAAATACGCACGCTCGCAACCATCCGGTTTGCGCACCACGCCGCTACGCGCCCTCCTGCTCAGAGGCCTTGCGAGAAACAAACACAATATGCATTCGTCTGATGTGGGTGTGCCCAATTGGCAGTGTACATCTATGAGAACAATCAATAGTTTGGCTTCTTCCTATTTGTCTGCTTGGCATATGAAGTGCGAATTTCGTTAAGGCCTGTTGCAATAAGATTAATCATCCACAGCCAAAAATGTCCAAATCCAACGGCAATAACCATCAGTAGAAAAATAAGCAGCTCTGGAAAACAAATAGGTGACCACAGCAAAATAATTTGTCTCATTTTCCGATCTACAGTTTGAGTAAAATCAACATTTTCTTTAGTTTACGAACATAACTCTCAATTTCCAAATGTAGATACTTACATTTGGAACACTTATTTCTTGCGGTCAATGAAATATGGTTAGAATACCCCCCAAAAATCATTTTTTGGGGGGAGGGGGTCTTTTCAATTGCTTATTTCCAGAGTTGGAGTTTATTTAGTCAACAAAAAAGTAGGAGATTGGACCTAAGCAGCTACTCAAACTATGCACTGAATGTATGATATTTAGCTCGCACACATGCGCATGCATGCGCTCGCTCTCTCGCGCGCACACACACACACACACACACACACACACACACACACACCCCAATACACACACAGACACA